TTTTTTTTTTTTTTTCTTTGCTTTGCTTTGCGGCTGCTTTGTTTTGGCTCGTGTCCCTTTTTTCGCTTACGCCATTCTCGTTTATTTATTAGCAATTTTATTAGCTATGAATTTGTTTGTTTTTATCGTAAAAATGAGAACCCGCCGCAGAGCCAGCCGCAGAGTACAAACAAAAACAAACCCGACCAGCCGGGTCCGCCCACAACTCCGACTCCTACTGCTGCTGCTGTTCCATCCCCTCCTCACCTTTAGCCAATTTCCCTTGCAGCTCTCAAAGGGTATCTGATTGCTGTTGTTGTTGTTTGTGCTGGCCAAATGAATGTGATTTATATTTTCAATAATGAAAGTGACTGCCGCCGCAGCCAGTTCCGGTTTCCGTCTGCTTTTAAAACATTTAAATTTAAATATTTTTCTATGCCTTGATTTATTATGCTGGCCTGCAAATGTTTTTCCTATGCCGGGGGAGCTCTGGCCGTCAGTGTGGGCGAGCCACGTGGGCGTGGCTGTGCTCGTTTTACGCCCGAGCACACAAAAGATGTGACTGGCGGCGCAATTATTTGTCTTGACTTGTCAGCCAAGGTGATTAAAAGTTTGCCAGCCCCTCTGCACCCTCCCGAAGATGAATGAAATGCCACCGAAACGGGGCAAGTTAATGCGGCAGATTTTTGTGGCCCGATAATCACTAGGTGGCACAAGGTGCACAAAAAAGGATCGCAACCCAAATCAAATTTCACAATTTGCTTTTGCAGTATAACTGAAGTCAAGATTAAAACAAGACAATGGCTAGAGGTGAATGAAGGGGCAAAAGAAGAAGACAAAACTAAGCTGGAATGCCCTAGAAAAAGAGGGATTTTTAGTGCTTTTATATTATTGCTTTAGTATTGATAACAATATCTAGAGTTATTATATAATGTTGTCTGATTCGTAACGATTTAACGGCAATGCAAGAATTATAATAATCCTGGTATTTTAAATCTTGAAGAATAGAACGACATTCTAGAGATGCAAATTTTTAATATGAATATATTTGAAAGTTATATTATATTGTAGATATACATATAAGACATAAATGTTCTTCTCTAGGATTTTTTAAGTCTATAATACTTCCATGATATGAATATAAACATTTGAAATGCTTAATAAATACTTTAGTCAACCTGTTTTTTTTTTTTTTTTTTTTTTTTTTTTTGAGTCCTCCACTTAACTGAATGAGTTAACTTAACGGCAATGATTTTTATGTTTATATAGTGCTTAACTCTTAATGGCTTAATAAAATAAAACATTTATAAAAGAGAAAAAAAATCATTTTTAATTTATGCACGCGTCCTCAAAAACTAGCATTATCGTTGCAGCTGCCGCACCTGCTGGCTCCACCTGCCGCAATTTGCGTCCAAGCCTCCCGATCTGAGCCCCCTTCAATCCTTTTCACTTTTGGCCACTTAAGCGCGGCAGACCCAACCCGCCAGCCTGGTCCACCTACGCTACCCCTACCCCTACCCCTATCCTCTTTAGGCCTTCTCCTGGCATTGGCAATTCATGGCTCGCTACGCGCGCATTTCGCTCAGTTTTATTTATATTTATTTATTTTGTTTTTAATTTTTTATTAAAACATGCGCTAAATGTTCCCCTTGCGGCAATTTAATAAAAATAAAAGCCAAAGAGCAACTTGAACGTACCGTGCGCCTCTTTCAAGTATAAGCCAAACACACACACCCACACACACTCACACATACACACAACCACAGCGTCATTCCAGGTGAATGCGCGCGCGCTGCGTGCATTAAATTTTCACTATTCACGTTTGGAAAATAAGAAAATAAAAAGAAGGCAAACCCAAAAAAAAAAGTGAGAAATAAAGGACGAAATAAAAAAGGATAGCTGGCGCCGAGGCCAGGTCCTGGTTACGTTGAATGGTAGGCGCAACGCCCAAAGTGTTGGCCATAAGTCAGCAAACATGAATAACAAATCAATTCAGTTTTAACGGCGCTGCAAATTCTTGAGCGCACACCCACACACACACACACCTACACACACCCGCACAGAGAGCAGGACTCATTTGAAAGGTGCGAAAACGAGCTGTTGAAAGGTGAGCAAAGCAAAGCAAAGGCGCCGACACACAAACACACACACACACACTTACACAGACTCACAGAGACTGGCGCTTAAGAGGCCGCCCAGCAAATATACATACATATATATGTATATGAGTGTGTGGGTGTGTGGGTGTGTGTGTGCCAGCTAGTATGCTGTTAATGGCAGCCCAGGCCCTTGTCCGCTGCTCGTCGGGCATTTTGAATTTTTAATGTCCGCCTCCGCCTGCTTAGGCTGCCTGCTCCAAATTTTTGCTACTCTTCGTTTATTTTTTATTTTTTTTTTTTTTTTTTTTTTTTAGGCATGTTTGCATACATTTGCGCTGCCCAGCAAACTATGCATATGCATATGAATGCTACTGTGTATGTGTGTGTGAGTGTGTTTGAGTGTGGCCCACCTTCACCCCTGTCGCACTTGTCTCTCGCTTTTTTATGCCCTGGCAAAATTGTCCGGTAATAAATTTTCAGCGTTTCCTGCCGACAAAGCGCCGCACTTTACAACACTTTTGGCATAAACAAACAAACACCACACTCACACACATACACACGTACACATATGCAGCTGGCCATGCGTGTGAATGAACTATGTGTGTGTGCGTGTGTGTGTGAGTCTGAGTGTAGCATGGCGCTCATGTAACGGAAGTTAAGTACACACTAAGTTGAGCTCGTCCGCTTGTAACGACGCTTCCTTCATATGTTTTCTGATACTTGCCACACACTCACACACTCATGCACACCTGCCCTGCAGGTGAAAATGTTTGGGCTTTATTTTTTATTATTGTGTACACACAGAGACGTTGTCCAAAGGCTTAAAACAAAACTTTTGCGCTATGCCCCATCAAAATTAATGCCTTGCCGCTGCTGCTCCTGCGCATTAAGCTCGCTGATGAGCTCTGCCTGACTATGCCTATGTGTGAGTGTTTGTGTGTGTGTATGTTTGTCTATTTGTGTTTTGCATATTTTTTGTGTTTTGTGTACTTATGTTTATGGTGTTAAGTGCATTTTTCAAGTGTTTCATGTTTACGCAGAAACATAACCTTAAAATCTCTTGAGGGCGCCTAAATAGAGGACTCACTTTCTCTTAACAATCTTAAGGTTATAGTTAGACAGAGAAGGAGAGAGAGAGAAAGTGAATAAGTAGAAAAGATAGAGGTGGACACAGAGAAAGAGAGAAAGAGAGAGAAAGACTAGGAGAGATATCGACAGACAACAATAGAGAGGGATAGTGCTAGGAAGAAAGGGAGAGCAGACTGGAGAGCCATAGAGAGAAAGAGAGAAAAGAGAAGTACAGAGAGCAAGAGAGAGTGAGCGAGGGAGATTATTGCAAAGAGAGAAAGAGAAAGACAGGTAGATTTTTATAGAGAATCAGAGCGAGCCATAGTGAGCGAAAAAAAATTAAATAATATATATAGATATTATTTATAAGGAGAAAAAGAGACTACCAGTGAATAAACATAACTTAAAAATACAAAACGCCTTATAAGCTAAGCAAATGCTAAATCTGGCATTACACCTTATATAGCACACATATCATTTGTACATAAGCATGTATACAACCATTTCATTGTGTAAAACTGTTATTATGCAGCCCTTTGCAAGAAGAAGAAGAACAACAACAGTAGCGAAAATCGGGCCCAAGTGTTTGTAGACGTACTGCTCTGCTTGTTGCTTGAGCTAATAAAACACTTACTAACACTGTCACTCCAAACTAATTATGCAGTGCCGTGTAGCATGCGGGAGAGAAGGTAGACTCAGCTCAGCGCGGCCCAGCATGTTGTCTATGCATATCTAGATGTAGCACCGTCATTAACTGTCATTACACAATTTCCATAAACAACTAACGAGTGTGTTTGTTTGTGAGTGTGTGTATGTGTGTCTGTTAATGTGTGTGAGGGTGTGCGGCACAGAGAGCTGGAAAAAAGTTCTGGCTGATTGTGCCAGCTAGTGTCTGAGCCATTGTTTGTCTTTAGAAACTTTTTAAATTGTGTTAAATATTCCATTAAACAGAAAGCTTTTTTGTTTGCAACTGCAACAGTCAGTTTCACCGATGCCAGAGTAGATAAATTGAATGGTTAAAAGTAGCCCCAGCTAAGAGCGTTGTGGGTGGGCCGGGGCCGCATCCAGTCGTTGCCGCCAACTCGTTCCAAATATAAGCCTGCAATTTTTATTATAATTTTATGCTCAAATGCGCAGCATTTAATGTACATCCTATATATATATATATATACATATACATTTATTTATATATATAAAACTTTTGTTTTGCCCCGAGTTTACCATGCAACATTAATGGAGCTGGCAAGCATTTAAGATAATTGCAAAAAATGCGAATATAATTGTCTTTCATGTTTTTGATTAGTTACTCTATGGTTAAATAGAGGGAACCAATTAATCAAATTGTGAGTTTCAAAAAATATATATATATAAATATTTATTTTCATTTGTTTCTTAACATAGTGGAAGCTTGTTTACATACATATTTGCTTAATACTTAATTTTGTATAGCTTGAATAATCAATTAGAAAAATGTGAATAATTTGTAAAAAAAAAAAAAAAATTAAAAAATTGTATATGTATATATTTTTTTTATTTTATTTATTTAAATTTTTTGTAAACCTTCTTACATACTTCATTTAAAGTTAAGCTGTTACATATGATACAAATTACGTTACATACAATATTTTAATTAAAAGACAGTCATAGCAAGGTTACGCGATTTTTTAAATTACGTTAAATGGTTTCTAAAAATTTAAATACTCCGCCACAAACAAACAAGAGCTCGTCATATGTGACGTCATCAATATGGCAAACATGCGCACTGCACAACACTAGAAAAAACGCACTTTAGGTATTTTTTAGGCACAAAACGTAATCAGAGTTGTAGCCGAGCTGAAAGTGAATGAAGAAGCAGAACAGCGAGCAGCAGCAACAGCACAGTAGGCGCAGTGAAAATGTATAATTTAATTTAACTTAATTACAAATTAGTTGGCCGCGTTAGATTTCATTTTTCGTTTTGCCCCACAGCGCCCGGCAGTACGTAGCAAACGCTGAAAAGCAACGCAAGCAGCCACAAAGCGATTAACGAGTGCTAAAACCGCTAACCCAGAGCACAGAAACACACTCATACATACTTTCATACAGACACACACACACGCTCTCACCGTCGTGAAGAGGAGGTGGTTGAAAACCAAGAAAAATGCAGCAGCTAAATTTTAGCCGGGGCCGCCGTGCAACGCGGGCGTTGCTGCTGATAGCCGCCGCATTCTGTCTACTGTCCGTTGCCTCATCAGCCGGCGCCGCTGAGCCTGAGATCGATGACTTCGATGATGACGGACTAGTGGAAGATGTTCAGGTGAGACCAGCCAAAAAAAAAAGTCATGGAAGCATACATACATATATGCATAAAAACATGCGTGTGTGTGTATATGTTTTGGTGGCCGGTTGCCACCGGCGCACAAAAGTACACGTCAGTAGCAACAACAGTTGCTGCTGCGGCTGTTCTAATTGTTGTTGTTGTTATATTTTGTTCTATTTTATGACACAGGGAGCATTATAGGGGTTAATAGTGTATGCGAGAAAAAGCGTGACCGCCGTATAAAGCGCTGACCCGCGCTATATTTCGATCTGCACTTGCTTACATACAAACATGCACACAAAAACAGAGACAAATACATATACGTACACATACATATATAGTAAGCCAACAAACTTACGCAAGACCCCCTTTCGCCACACTGTCTCAGCTTCGGTCTCTGTGTTTCACTCTCTCTGACTCGCTCTGCTACGATAAAACATTAAGTGTGTCAGCCGCGTGGGTTTTTTTCCCCCATTTGTACCCTGTACCCATGCCAAATGTGTACAAAAGGGTATATGAGCGTAGTAATTTTCTCTCTATTAGCATCAACAGGCGAATCTTACTTCACACGTGCCTCTTTGGGAGTTAAAGTTCACAGAGTTTGCTCGGAAAACTTCTAGACCTATCAATATACATATATATTTTTGCTTATCTCCAACTGTGCTGCCTTACTAATTCTCTTGTGATTGATCTAGTTGCTTACTTTGCTGACTTTGTAGTACACGCCCATTTCTAATTGCCATATGTAAACCATGGGAAACTGAATATTGAATAAGTCAAATCAATTATTTACTATAAGGCCCAACGTATTGCAACTCTCCCATTGACAAAATTTCCTATCAATCTATCTCATTTCTACAGGAGGAGCAAATCAATGTCCCCGGCGAGGAGCTGGTCTATGAGAGTCCAGTGATCGAACCCAAAAAATTTCATTTTGCTGATCATTTCGATGATGTTGACGCCTCACGCAAACGCTGGGTCAAATCACAGGCTAAGAAAGACGATATTGCCGAGGAAATAGCCAAATACGATGGCATCTGGAACTGGGAGTCGCCTCTGCGCATTGTTTGGCCCAAGGATAAGGGCCTGGTGCTCAAGTCAAAGGCCAAGCACGCAGCCATTTCGGCGCCACTTAACAAACCGTTCGACTTCAAATCGAACAAACCGCTGGTGGTGCAATATGAGGTCACAATGCAGGTGGGTCAATAACCAACTAAACAGGCAGCCAACCAATTGGCCATTGCAAAGACTTGGTGGATTGCATCAGCCGTCGCTTCTTATGGATTGCCTAATCCAATTAATAGCCACATAGCATAAGCTAATCGACCCAATTTCAATTTCGTATTCCACAGGAGGGTCAAGAGTGTGGTGGCTCGTACATAAAATTGCTGTCGTCAGGGAAGGAAACCGAAGATCTTACCATGGTTAGTCGCCGACCCAATTGAAATATGAATTAGCTCCGATTTCCATGTTTACTTATTGTTTGTTTTCTTTCTGTTTTCTGTTCTCTGTTTTTGTTTAGTTCAATGACAAAACACCCTACACCATCATGTTTGGACCGGACAAGTGTGGAAACGATGTGAAAATGCACTTCATATTCCGTCACGTAAATCCAATTAACGGCACCATAACCGAGAAGCACTGTAACAAACCAAAGTAAGTGGACCCACATATGCGACTCAATCACACACACACACATATACACACATACAGAGATAGAGATAGACAGAACCCGCGTGCAACCACCGTTTGCTACTTTATTTTGTATGCTGTGCAGATTAGCCCGCGCATCTATCTATGGACATTTATATACTTATTTATTTACATAGATTAACCCCATGTGCAACAGCTGCCGCTGATTCAGTTGATTCACTTGTTACAGTCGGACTCTACAAATTTGTCGCTAGAGTATACATATTTGTATATTACCATTAAGTATTGCCCATTTCAATGCTTATTAGATTCATCTTTTACAATATCAATCAAATGCTTCCTAAAGAGAGTCGAGAAACATAAGCCATTTACTTAAAAACCCATTTTCTTTTCGCTATTTCGATTTACTTTAGGAACCGTTTGGAGGAGCCCTTTAAGGACAAGCTGCCACATTTGTACCAGCTGGTTGTGCGACCGGACAACACCTTTGAGATACGCGTTGATCACAAGATCATTAACGAGGGCTCTCTTCTCACCGATTTCAAGCCGCCAGTGAATCCGCCTGCAGAGATCGACGATCCCACTGACCAGAAGCCAGCTGATTGGGATGAGCGCGAAAAAATACCCGATCCAACGGCACAAAAGCCCGATGATTGGAATGACGATGCATTGCCACAGATACCCGATACCAGCGCCACCAAGCCGAATGGCTGGTTGGATGATGAGCCCGATATGATACCCGATCCAACTGCCACTAAGCCCGATGACTGGGACACGGAAATCGATGGCGAATGGGAGGCACCGCTTGTGGATAATCCTGCTTGTGAAAAGGCACCGGGTTGCGGTAAATGGAAGCCACCACTGATTCCAAACCCAGAATACAAGGGCAAATGGCGCGCACCCATGATCGAGAATCCCAACTACCAGGGCAAATGGGCGCCACGCAAGATACCCAATCCAGATTTCTTCGAGGATCTTATGCCGTTCAAAATGACGCCTATTGTAAGCAGTGGGAATGACTGCAAAATCAGAACTCGCGACTATATATTTAATCTTTCAGAGCGCTGTTGGCCTGGAGTTGTGGTCGATGTCCAATGAAATACTGTTTGATAATCTTATCATAACGGACGACGTGGATGTGGCTCGTGAGTTTGCCGCCAGTAGCTTTGACATCAAGCGTCGCTACATTGATCGGGAATCGGTAAGTTGACTGCCACGCCCACTCACAAACAACTAACATAAAAAGAAAAGAAAAATATTTAGTACTAATTTCCTAATACTCAACTTTAAAAGAAAACCCTGTGGCATCGAATGATGCGCCATATGAATTATAAGCCCGGATGGTGGGCATTATACTTTCTATATCTGCTGATACCCGCCAGCTGTTATATCTTCTATTTGTATCGACGGTCCAAAGAGGTCACGTTTCGAATATATTAGATGCATAAGATATAGAGCTACACACACACAAACACACTCGCCTATTGCCATTGCCTTTGCACATTGCACCCTTATTGCTATTTGCTCATCTCAATTTGTAGGACTCATTGGTCAACAAGGTAGTTGAGCTAACCAAGGCCTATCCCACGGCCTGGGCTATTGGCCTGGTCGTATTCATCTCAGTGATTGTCATTGGCATCTACTGTAGATTTGGCAAAGCTAAGAGTCAGGTAATGTAGCTAGCCTAAAGCTTAAATTAACTGAATTCAATTCTGGAGTACTATTTCTAATATCAATCGCTTGTAACCCAATAGGATTCGGCGGCCAATGCTGCTGCTGCTCAGGCTAAAAAGACGGATGAGCCGCAGCCCGACGATGAGCAGGATGGCGCTGCTGATGGGAACGAGAGCGAAGAGGACGCTGATGCGGCACCAGCGCTGGCGACTGGTGGCAGCAAGACAGACATTTCTGCCAGTCCCAAAAAGATTCAAAAGTCTGATTTAGATAATAAAGAGCAGCTCAACCAGAAAGATGAGGAGCCCACACAGACTGAGGTAGCTATGAAATAGATATTTAAATGTTTTAAATGAACTTCAATTAAGAGAGTCTGAAGATTATCTAATGGTCATTCACTTTCTTTACAGGAAAACACCACGAAATCTACGCGCAAGCGTACCGTGCGCAAGGATTAGAGGACGTGGGACAATCTCGGATTTACAATATTTACTTGAAAACTTAAACTAATTCCAAAAACAACAACTGCAACCACAGCAATGGCAGTAACAACAACAACAACAAACAACAGCATCATCAGCAGTAGTAAAAACAACACAGCCTGTTTTAGTTTTAAATTAGCACTCCACTCATATTCATTGAGAACTCGTACAAACACCCACGAATACAGAGAATAGGTAGACCTCAAAGACCAGCTAAAACTGTTGTTGGTAACTCGTTCGCCTGCAGCTGTTAATTAAATGAACTAGTTTTTATGTGGTTTGGTTTAGTCATCTTATACGTACGGCACGTTCTGTATTATTCATTGTATTTCTGTTTGTATACTCTCCATATATACTACATCCTATCCCCCAATACTGTCTCACATGTCATGTTCTGTTCTCACTTTCCTATGTGAAACACACACTAAAAAAAAAACAACAACAAACTATTACTAGATAAATGAGGGAATCAAAGATAAATGAAACCAATAAGAATGCAGTCCAAAAGAAACTCCAAATGCAAATACAACATGAGAGAGAGGGAAGCAAAGCAAGTAAAAGAGAGAGAGAGCAAAGGGAAAATATCTAGTTTAATATTATGTAATTTAAACGAAATTTTATGAATACGCTAGTTATACTCAGAGTTAAAATAAATTTCCTTTTTCATTTATAATAATGAAAATTTACAGCGAAAATAAAACTGAATGTCAAAACCAACTGGATACATTTATATCAATAAATAAGTATTTACTACACGAGCAATGCTAACAATAACAACAACAACCGACGGGCAGCAGCAACCCGGAAGGACTAACCAACTGACGTTTGCATACAGTCCGCCAAAATCCTGCATATCCTTTTTCCACCACCAAATGCGTGGCCCGGTCCAGTCCAGTGTTAATTTAAATGTCAAGCCCTTGTAAATGCTGATTGAACATTTTTGTGGGCAGCAGCCGCCGCCCCCACAGTAAATCGGCTTCCAATTGGATTTACGCTTGGTGGTGCGTGCAGCGACAACCACCGCAGCGAAGACAGCGTCGCATATTTTGCGGTTTTTCGACATTTACCCACAAAATAAAGGAGGCAAAACATTTGGATATCTAGATTAATAAAATGTGATGGACTCCAACCATTTGGCACAAAGCTCGCCAATTGGTCAAATGAATTATTGAGTGCTTGCAGGAAATGAAACACTCGATTGCGGATTAGAACCTTGGCCCACAGCCTATAACTGTTTATATATGGGCATAAACTTAGTCAGTTTTGATAATGAAAACGTTTTCCATTTATAGACTGAGGTTCGTAGGCTAAACTAGCTTTGAACTAATATGGAAATTAGACGCAATAGCATTACGGTCATATATAATAATATTAATGTAATATGTATTAGTATATTGCCTGATATATAATATATATTTGCATCATATATTAAATTGAAATTATGAACTAAATTACCGTCTTTTGCATTTAATCTATAAATTTAGTTGGTAAACTGATGAGAACAATTGCAGATAGAAACCCCTCCCCGCCAAGATTTCTGCTCCTATTATATATTATCTATCATTACACTTTGAGCAGTTATTTTCCTTACATTTTCAGAAACTAGAATTTTAGATATAATTTTCTACTCTCTGAAGCGTGTGTATTAAATAAGAATACTAAGAATAAGAATAATATTTATAGTAACTTTTTCATATCTCGCATAATTTTAATACACAACAAACAAAGAGATTGTCATATTGACGGCTTGAAAGAAAAGTTAAGGCTAAGTTTTGGTAAATAGCAAGGCTTAAAGAATTCTATCTCTATCCGTCACATTTGTTTCAGGTTTTCTATTTAAAGTGAATCAGAACATATTAAACACGAAATACATATAACACGATTGAAATCTTTTCCGATTCACTAACTACCATATGAGGACTTTGACTGATTTCGAAGTTTCACAGTCCATGTTTATTTTGCTATTTAAGCCTTTAACTTTAGACATTTTAACTTTGCCGCAAAGTTGTTGCAAGTCCTAAACAAATATAAATATCTTTGTCGCCTTTCGCTAGATTTAATTCAATTTCCTGCGCCCATAAACATGCCAGGCTAGACTCTCCCTGAGGCTCCCTGACATTGGCCTGCGCCTCAAAGGCACGATTGTTAATGAAATTGTTATGACAGCCCCAAAGCTAATGCACACACACACACACACACTCACACACACATGTGCATGCATATATGGAAATTGGCAAATACTTTCTATTCAAATTAGATTTATGCCCGCCAACAGATGTGCTGCGATTCGAATTGTGTCTGGAATCAACCCGTCGACCTTTTCGGTCACAAAAGATTAAATGCGTTGCGTGGGCTGTGGGGTTAACTGATGTCTGGAGCGATATCGACGCACTTAAAAGGATTAACATTTTTGTGCTGACTGCGGCTAGAACTGCCCCCGTTGCATATTAAAAAAACATGGCCAAATAACATAGCAAAAACAACAAAACTTAAGAGCGGGAAATGCGCTCAGCTGCTCGTAATTCATAGACAGGCAGAAAAATAAAAGAAAACTTCAGTTTTAACTTAGGGAATACTAGATACTCTTTTCGATATTTGTAAAGACAAAGCCACATATTATAGCGGATAATTGCGCCTTCATGCTCTCCATAAATGTTAAATATTTCTTTCTTCGACCAAAAGTTTCAATGTTTGTTTTCTTCTTCTTAGAATAAACCAAAACTGAGCTTTGGATAAATAAAAATGTTCAATCATTGATTCTGGACGATGTGAGGTCTCTGTGTAGAAATTCCATGAGATTTATATTTGTTAAACTAAAGACTTTTTATATCGCTTATGGGCATATTACATGACAAAGCTGAAATACCCTTTAAAAAAAGAGTTAGTGAACCAGCTAAAGGGCGGCAACGTCATGTGATTGCAGCCACAGTGCGTCTGACGGGTGGTGTCCAGCGGGTAGGCAAACCACATTTACTTTCTGCTATGCGTAAGCATTATAATTTTAATAAAAATACATTTCTTTTTTTCTGCTGTTGTCAAAAACAACTTTGAACCCTTCAAGCAGACAATAAGCACACGCAGACTACCCCTGCCCATAGCAGCCCTGGACTGCCCCGCCCACCATGGAATAAAGCCCATCAAAAGATTTCATAAACGGCGGGCTTCCGAGTGAGCGCTTTAAGTAGAATTTGTTCAACTCGAGGGGTAGTTGCAGTAGTGGGGTCAAGTCCCCCCATTGGGAGCCGGCAGTCGGACTTATTGCAGCAGCTTCGACTGATGTGCCCGCTCCCGGTTCCGTCTCCGGGCCAATCGATGCGTAAGCAAAAGTACCAGGCCATATGTAATGTTATTGCAGTCCCTTCCTCGCCAGAGTTGACAACTTTTGGGGTCGGTTGCTCGCAAGGGTTGCAATTTGGCTCTAGAGACCCCAAACCGCTCGCCGTCAAGACCATCTACCAAGCGCTCTTAGCGAATTCCGTGCAATTAAATCGTGCATTTGGGAAACTACCAGCAGACCCGAGCAGCCCATTAATTGCGGCTCGATTTCATCATAAAGATTACAGATTATAGATTGGAGATAAAAAATCATATAAATAAATTGGTTTTCAACTATGCAGCTCTAATAGCTCTCAGTGCACACAATTTTTTTGACTTCAATATTATTTTCATTGATTTCGTGACACGATAATCGTCTTATGATCCCCGCCCTCCACCAACCCAGTACCGACCCACACTTTCCATGTTTTGCAATAACCATTTTTCACTCGAATGAATTGGATTTTGCCGCCCGGACATGAAATTGAGTGCTCGAAGGATCCGATATCAATGCAAATGCCGTTCGATTCATAAACAGATTTGCATATTTGAACCTGCCTAATGAATGTCTTTTCGCTTCAAACTCAATTAACCCACACACTTCGCAGCAGCGAAAGCTTGATTGAATGGAATATTCTAATGATACTTTACTGTCTATGAATGTCAGTTCAATTTCATTTGCTCGGCTAATGCTTCAATTTTATTCGCCCGGTAATGCTTCAAGTTTCCGGAATTTAAACACTTGAAATAAACAAGAGACAAAGGCAAAAGATTTATACATACTGCAGAGCAAATAAATTAGTGCTAAATTCTATTTACTTTGAATTCAGTTCTGATCTTTTAGAAAAGAGTCTTAAATTCTAGGAAAGTCTATGAACTAAGATAAACTTTTCTAAAATTTTAACAAAAATAACTACTAACAGCAATTCAAACCAACTTTTTGAAATTTACCATTTTTATAACTAGTAAAAAAAAACAAATAAATTGGATAAATTTAAAATATTTTACTAATCAAATTAAGCTTAAACTAAATTATTTTACCTATTAGGTATTTATTTATAAATCAGTAATCAAATTATTTGTATTATACCACAGTCATATTCTTTATGTTTAAGATCAAAGAAACATTTAATAAAGACTTGCGAAACTGTTTAACTAAAATAACATCATTTATTTATTGAAACTAAATTTGAATATTAACGGAACTTTCAAGTATCAGTCAGAAGCTAAATATCATATATTTGCTCGCTGACAAAAGCTTATTGTATGAACTTATAATAGCGGACAAAAGCTCATTGTATAAGGTTGATGTCTCAACTAACTGAACGAAATAGAGACTTGTTCATCTAGCGAATGTGTCTACCACTGAACTGTTTTACGCACCATACTAAATAGCTCCATATCTAACGAAACCTTACACTGAGCACAACGAAATTAAAGAAATTGACTCTCAGATCGAAAAAGAACGAAACGAATAGACGAACATCGAAAGTTTGACAGGCTATTAAGTTGAACGAATCAACTTAATTCATAGAACATTAGCGCTTTAGTCAAGCTTCACACCCAGTATATAGAATAGCTGTTAGCAATTGCATTCAAACTATAGGCAGTAATTCTCATATTTAGAAAATATCTTGCCGCTTTTTGAAACCATTAATTTAAATCAATTTAATTTAATAATTATTTACAAAAATTTTCATCAGACACACGGTTGCGGTACTTGATAAGCTTTGCCATTATTCGACTCTTTCAAAGATGTCAGCTAAAATAGAATCCCCGCATCTTGGGCCAACCGCTCCCTTCCCTGCGCTGCCTAGCCAAGGATAAGAACAATGTGCTGGTCATTAATATCCTTGGCCAGTTGCAAATGCCAAACAAAAACCCGCAATGGGGTGGTGTAAAAACATTATGATTTTTATTGTGAATCGTTTATCCTCATTACGCGAGCAGCGTCTAAAATGCACAGAATATACCAGAAAAATTACACTCGAGAATCAGGTCGCAGTGATTGACTTGAGAATACCCTGTTTAAGATTTACATACATTTTTTTAACGAAATTTTATACCAGAAATATACAAGAAAAATTACACTCGAGAATCAGGTCGCAGTGATTGACTTGAGAATACCCTGTTTAAGATTTACATACATTTTTTTAACGAAATTTTTGATTGGGGGTTTCCTAGGGTGGTTCAGCATGTTATGGTCTCTGAGGCATACACTGTCATTTCTGCGAAAAAAAAAAGATAATAAAGTTGATTAAAGTAGAGCATACATATATAGCATTTGCCTATCCATACAGGGTATGCTAAGTTAAAAAGCTACAAACTAGTTTCGAAATGCGCCGTTGACCGCTTGCGCAGGTCCACCCTAAACCCAAGAACTGCAGCAACAACAATTATTGCTAGCCCGCTATCAAATGCAACCCTTATTGCACATAAGTGACCCTAATTAAAATTGCTTTGTGCGCGGCTTTTTAGTTTGGCTTTTGATTGCCTTGTTCTTAAAGATTAAGCTTTTGTTTTTCCATTTAACGCTTAATTTCAACAATTTCGATGGCCTAACACGATTTCCTCCCCTGCCGGCTTGACCCCGAGGATCGCTTACGCAAAGAGTTACATAAGTAACTGGATCCACAGCAAGAGAGAGAGAGAGAGAGAGAGAGAGAGAGAGAGAGAGCGAGAGAGATATAGATCCCTTTGACCAGAGCCAACTGACCGCAACTAAACAAACACTCGACCTGATTCGCATTTGACTTATAATGCACGAAATATAAAAAACAGATATAAAAAGAATTTTTAATTGCATTAGAATCCCTGGATCGTTAGATTCTCAGATCGCACTGCAGCGACTCGACCAGTGTCCAGTTCATTGTCTCCGCCTTGTTTACTTTATGCCTTGCCCCCGGTGTCCGGTACGGTTAACCTTTTGAATATTTAGCGGCACTTGAGCCGCTGCCTTTTGTTAACCTCACCTAGTGGTCAGCGCTCTTCTTCTTCTCTCGTTTTTTTAATGCACTTTCCGGACAGTGAATCAAGTCTTTTGTCTAGAAAGTCGTATCTGGTTAAGCGGATCAGTTTCAGTTTCAGCCTTATAAACTAAGAAGCCAGCGGAAAATTACGGCGCTTCATAAGCAATTTGCATGCTCGAAATATTCTTTCCTTTTGTTTTCTTCTCTTTCCAATTTATTCTTTTCCTTGTGCTAAGTTTTTTTTTAAATTTCTGGTAATTCTTTTGGCAATCTTCTGCAGTGTTTCCCATTATCAACAAAATTAGCATTATGTTGTACGTGTGCTCCACGCTTTAGCAGGGTCCCAGTCAAAAATTGATTAAGAATATTTACACTTGAGAAAATATTCTTCTTACCATACTTTAATAATTTCCCTCCGCAGCCTTTTTCATACTTAATATAAACATGTACGAGCACACTTCTAGCTAGAATGACAACGAGTTCGACCAATATTAATACAAATCTATTCTGCATATAATAATCTTTACAATGGTTTGACATTCAACAAAGTTTTTCTTAAAGTGTATGCAAACAATGCACGTGCACGAAACTGGGCACGGCACGACTCACGCTCGAGCTCAAACTCGAACTCCAGCCGAAGCTCAACCTCAACATGAACCTTTAATATCACAGTCTCATTCTTATCCTCAGCTCTTGCGTGACTCTTACGTGGGCTGCTCAGAGCTTCTCCCTCCTCCAAAATTGGCTTTGATCTGTGGCATCATTAGCTCTCGAACTGTATTCTCCATAAATTTAACCATAAATGTAACTCAAAGGCGAGTCCGACAATTGCTCAATAATCCCCACTGCTCAGAGAGTTGGCGTGTTGCCAGGCAAGACTGTAACTAGGAGCGCCAGTTTCTTACAGCCAACGAGTGGGCGAGCCAGACTCGAAGCTGTGAGAGTTCTGTGACAGCCAACAGGAAATCAAGAGAACGTCATAACTGACTCAAGACGTAGGCAAGTGAACAAGTACACTTGTAGAGCTTCCTACGACAAAAGTATTGAGGCGAGTTGGCGTAACTCTATAATAAGTATGTAGGATCACACTCTGAGGTAATTAAATGAAGCTTTGGGACTATGAGAGTGAACTGGCTCGTTAATAGAATATAGAAGGTTACTGAACTGCGGAATTCGTATGCTAAATCTGAATAGCCTCAGCACATTTATAAGGTATTCTTAGTTGAATGAGTTGTTTTTACAAATACCTTGATGATCTATTAAAAACATATTAACAGCATTATATATATATAAATAATTTCGTATATTAACTTTTAATTGTTTTTTTAAGTGCTTCATTTCCTATGTAGCCTATCACATGGAATTGAATGCCAATTTCTGTTAGCCTATATATTTATTAATAACCTGATTGAACACCATTGTGAAAATATCAGATAAGAAACGATTAAGTCATTCCCATTGCCAAACTAAAATAACTGTCAACAGCATTTACAGATTTCAAAAAGTACATATCAAGAATTTACTAGAACATGTTTTCTTATTTGGCAATTTATTGCTTGAGTAAATAAGCCAGTTCATATTTGTCTATATGTTGTTTGGCTACCATTTTGCATTCATGGCTACAGCACACACCTGTTTGAAAGGTTTTGCCGGCAAATCAAACTTCACAGTTGGCCATACAAAATAATGTCGTAATAGAAACAGTTCAAGGGTCTCCCTCTCTCTCTGCATCTGTCTCTCCCTCTCTCTCTCTCTCTAGTGTATAGAAATCCGCATGACACGGTTCAAGTGCCAAGTGGCTCGATCGCGACAAGGGGAACAGAAAAAGCCGCGCGCTTTTGCTGCCCACATGCACTGGGCCAGGTCTGATGTGTTATACGGTTCGGCGATTCTTAACGCTCATAGTTCCCCTTTGAACCCGCCCAGGCTGGAAAACAAATGCGACAATTGTGCAGCAGCAGAAAATAAGAAAGAAGCAGCATACGAAAGAAAGCCACAAAAAACAAACTAAAAGGAACACCTGATCAAAATTTCAAATTATTACAACGAAATGGGCTAGGCATAAGGACACAAACACAGTCCCATCATAGCTCGTGCGCGAGTTGTTATCACACACGCACACGCACACTCACACAAGCACACACACACACACATACTCTCACACACTCAGCTATGAGCCATGAAAATGCTTTGGTCTAATGAGCACCGCTCGAAAGAATGAAAAACTTCCAACTTGGTCGCTGTAATTACGCGAGCAAAAGAAAATGCATTTCTAGGGTAAATTCTTATCCTCGCTCGTTGTGTGAATAGGTAGAGCATATGGGTTTTGTACACTCTTATATGTTGTTAGAGCGTTGAGAGTTTGGGCTAGTTACTGAAGTTTATATACAATGCTGTAGTGTAGCCCAGAAATTTTATGATTAGATTGGCATTAAAATCTAAGAAAGATCCCTAATAGAGATCGATCAAATACAATAATAGATATTATAGTAGAGACCAAAAACTAATCTCCCACGGTAGACATATAGATATGAAGCCTGTTCCTTATATAGAGATATATAATAGATACTTAACTAATTTTCACTTCATGAAAAGTTTCAATCAAATAATAAATAATATTATAGTAAAAGGAATATCCAATCTGAATAATCTGAATTGCAATAGAATAATCTAAGGAATCAATCTATCGCAGCTCTATTTTCTATATATCCTGCCTTCAATCATGTTGAACTTATTGAACAAGTATAGCTGCAGTCGTTTACACTCGGTCGCGACCTTCTTAGTTGTTTATTTTCTGTTCATTCTGTTTTGGACTTGGGGTCGCGGTCGGGTCATTCAAAATGTTACATGCATGCACCTGACACCGCCGACTCATTACTATTTGGGCGAGCGAGTTGAGGAAATGCTGCGATGAGGAAGTGGTTCCTGAGCGCGTGCTGTTTGCGAGCGGAGGCAGCCGAGGCTGAAGTCGAAGGTGAAGTCGAAGTTGAAGTCGCCGTTGAAGTTGAAGGCGAAGTCAGTCAAGCGCTGCGTCAACTTCAGCATAATTTGGTCGCGGTTCGCTGATGGCGGTGGTGGTGGCGGCGTTGCTGCTGCTGCTGCCTAGTGTTGGTGGTGGTGGTGGTGGCAGAACTAACAGTTTTCCCTAGCGACATTTGACCAGTACAGCGCATGCGCAACCCTTGTGAGTTTTTCCAGCAGCAGCAGCAGCAGCAGCAGCGGCAGCAGCATTACAAATTGGGCGCCAAAACGTGCAGCAGTCAATGACATTGGCCCAAGGAGCTGGTGTCGAGCCAGGACCTCGAGCGACATATGCGCCAGCGCGCATGGCTCGTGCCAACACATCAGCATAACAATTAAACATAAATATACCAAGGATAACAGCAACAACAACAACCATTTTAACTGCGCCCAAAAAGGTGGCTTGGTTTTAGTCATGTGGGCGCGACATTAGCTGCTTGTTCATTCTGTAATACCCTGCATTATCAACATGGGATAGAGAGCAGTTGGAAAGTTCTCTATTATAGAAGAAAACGTCATAGAGTCAATTAGACAAATTCTTAACTGATTTTCAGCTTTTAAATGCAGATCAATTTTAATACAAATTCATATGATATCTGATTGGCAAATACATAAAAAAATTTACTAATAACTTTAACAAGAGATATCTTTTTTTTTGAATATATATAAATTCAGACAATAAACGGAAATACCAATAAAAAATATATGTTTATTTATTATTATTATTATTATTATTATTTTTTTTTTTTTTTTTTTGTATTTTGCTAGCATATATGAACACAACTATACAACATGGAATTTCAATTCAGAATAGGGTAACGTGAAGTCTTGCAGCCTTTAGACATCAAACGCCTCCTCCTTATTTTAACTAGAACAGGGTGGCTTTTAGCCCGATCTGGCGAGGGCGGGCGAATTGCAGCCGGCTGCCATTTAAGGGTTAGCTTTGCGCAGACCAACTGACGCGCGCGCCCACGATTCGGGCGCTATATCGCCCGATAATGCTTCATATAGCACCGCTGAGTCATAGCAAGCGGCTCGATCGTTTGTAACGGTCACGCACGCAAGCAACTGCATGGCTCATATGGCTCACATATGTGCGTGTGTGTGTATATTGCTGAGTTGTTTTGTTATCCTGGCAGGCACATTCCTGTTGTTTGCTTAGCGCCTCGTTGGGAGAGAGTGTGTGCGAGTGTATGGAAGCTTCACGCCGCGCTGCCCTTTGTACGCCTACCCAACCCGGTAATTACAACAAAATGTGACCAACTGACTTTTCGTGCCGACTTGAACTAAATATATATATATAAATACATATAGCCTGGTTTGTGGCTCGAGCGAAATATGCTGCGCATATGTGCATGTGGTGCACATACTGCTCCTGCCCGATCCTGCCCGATCCTGCTCGATCCTGCCTGCTGCTGACTCTTGTACCATTCATTTAGCGCGAAATTTTGCAATTATTAATTTAGGAAACAGGCGTCGGGTTTTGCTTGGGTGGCACTGTGCCTGTCGAGCTACAGAGCAGCCGAGCTGCCTTGCCCTTAGCCCTAACCATGTGCTCTAGCCACTTCATATATTGCCTCTTTAGTTTGCATTTGTTTTGTTTTTCGTTTCCTTTTTCCTTTTTTTTTGCTGGCGGGAAATTTTACATTTTGCACCATGGGCGGGCGATTTTTATGCTCAAAGTGCTGCAGTTTGGGGTGTGGAATGGCCCACTTGAAACAGCTCTCAGAAACAGTTAATAGTTTGCTATAAAAAAGCCATATGTATATGAAATTCGAATTACTTTTTACTTTTTAGTGTGGGCCAGATGTACAGCATCGTCTTTAGACTATCCTATAATGGGAATAGCTTAAGCAGAGAATAGAATAAATTCATTATAAATATCTTCATCTTCAACTAGTTTAAATACTCCTGAGAAAAGTCTTCAACTTATATCTGGTGTTTAAGTAAAATTTACCGCAACATCGTTCACTCCACACACAGGCATCAATATGCATATTAAACTCATGTTCAACACAATATTCCCACATTAAATGCATTTTGTAGCGCAGGAAGCTCACATCAATGAGCACTTGGCAGGATTCAGGCCGAGAGGCACGTAGCAGCCGCAATGTAACCCAAGTACGATTATGCTCGAGGGCCATAAAGTGCAACATGTGCATATTAAAAGTTGGCCAAGCTATCGAATGACACGAGCTGAAGTTGGAGAGCAGCCAAAGAGAGAGAGAGAGAGAGGGAGAGAGAGAGGGTGCCAGAGGTTCAGAGGGGGACAGAGGCGTTGCCACCCGATGCAATTGATGTAGGTCGAAGGCTTTGCCAATTGCCCGGCGCTGGCGTCAAGACAAAATTATAAATGATGAGCAGAATATAAAGGGCGAGCGAGTCGCTTGGCCTGCCGTGGGATCGCGCTGTGTGGCTTCCCACGAAGTAGGGGCCGTTGCCATTTAACAGGACGAGCGCAAAAATATTGATCTGTAATAAAAACTGAAGCGTACGGCAAGTGCACATAAAATCAAATTAATAGTCCTTGTCGGTAGGCTGTCAGGCTGGCACTTTGTTTTGGTTCGAGCAGTGGGAAACTCGGCGCACAAAAGGCACAAAAGGCAATAAATTTCCAAAGGACAATGGCAAAAAATTCCAAACTAAAGAGGAAAACAAAATCAGTTTGTCTTATCGCCCAAATGCAATCTCTCACCTTTCAGTTTGTCAATTAGTTCAAGTGCACGGCCGACCGACGAACGGCGAGCGAGCAGCGAGAAGTACCTGCCGCAGGTCCTTTTGGGCTGCCCGCAAAATAGGACCAGCAATGCCAACTCTCGTCCTGTTGCCGATTTATTGACCGAAAATCAATAAAATATTTATTGTCTATTATGCAACGCCCGAGGCTCGAGTGGGCGTGCCAGACGGGAGCCGTTTATCCAGCACATGTCCCGGCCAAACTGGAGCTGGGCGAGGCTACACAGTTAGCTCAAGTCCACACCATATGCTGGATAAACTGCATGTCCTACGTGTCCTGCTTGGGTCAAGTGCACCTTTCTCTTAAAATTTTCTTTTTTTTGCTGAGCTGCGCAATTAAGCAGCACGAAACGTTTTGCGATTAGATTTGCTGCAAAGGAGTGAAAAATGCGCCGAGTGCGCAGCAGAGTGTCACAGTGCGTGTCCTGCATGTACTGCATGCCCTGGGCGGACGTACGCTCGCGCGCTAAACAAAGCGCTGCAGTTAATTGCCAAAGCCACCAAACTGAAAGGCAGACGCGCCACGGGATAGGCGCCAGCCCGGACAACACTTAATGAGCGGACGAATGTCTAGGATGCGCCAGGACACAACAGCGCTGCGCAGGAGCACGCTGCGTGGGCCAGGCGCACTGAGCCTAACCGTGCGAAATCGCTTCCCAGGCTCAAAGGAGCACACGCTGACAATTTGACACGTCAGAACTTTGCATAAAACTGCGCGAGGCAACTACAATCGATACCTACATACATACATACATATATATATATATGTATGTATGCCTAGATATATGGACAGATAGCTGCGTCCTCGACTTGTGTGGTGGCAAAATCATAATCGTTTTCTAACTCCTTCACGCCGCTGAACACTTGAAGCGGCAAAGGTCTCGCCGGCAGCACAAACAAACTTCGGTGCATTGTCTGACCAAATAATAGAATGAAAAAATAATATATGCCCGGCCGAAGGACTCTCGGTTGATTCTCAATAGTTTCATATACATATTTGATTACTTTTGTTATTTCTCACAATATTTTCGCTCAATCCTGGCCGCCAACTCATTTGTACTTAGCTTCCTGGAATTCCATATGACCACACAACAAAAAAGTCCCTTCGAGGCGCGGCAAAACCTCAAACACCAAACCGCAACTTCAACCTGTCTTTGTGCCCGACTCCGTCTGTGTACATTTATGATATATATTTTCGGCTGGGTCGCCATGATTGCGCACTATTTGCCTTGCTCAATGTTTGGATGTGCCTATAAAAATGTGGCCGCATCTTTTGTCTTTTGCAATTGTTTGGCAATTTCGTATAATGCATCGATTTCCCGGGAGGTCTTTCGATTTGTGATCTCCGATCTGCAATCGACTCGACCGTCTCGCTCGCAATTTCATGGCTGTCCGAGTGCTGGTCAAGGGGCGGCACTTGCCCTTTTTTTTCGCGTGTCATGTCTTTTTACGATCTTATTCCGGCTAATGATCTTTTCAAGGCTGCCCAGCTCTCCAGAGAGCGCATTAATGGGCCTTGCCGCACCCAACATTAGCTAATGCTGGCGTGCAATGGGATACGCCAAATTTGTGGTCCCTCAAGGCAAACGATTCCTCGAAAGTTTCGCAATTCAATTTTTGAGCATGCATGAGGGCTCTGTGAATTCCCGAAATGTGAGCACAAAAAAGCAATTTACAGTTTTGACAGACTTCATATATAGGATTACAATATGTTGGTTTAACTTTTGAAATTTTTAGATATGTATATGCATACATATGGATGTAGACCCACACTAAATATCATTTAAGTAAACATTTTAAATGTATAATATCAAAAACTAACTCACCTCGTATTTCCCTTCCAGGCGTCTCCCATATTCTTCGCTTGTCTTTGCAGCTCAACTGGAAGCACATTCCTCTAGTCAAGCACATGTGATACCTGGAACTGGGATTAAGAAACAAGAAGAAATAAATAAAGAACCGTTAATGGTCCAATAAAATGACCTTAATGAAATTTAAGCGAACTGGACAACAGCTGTTGTTGTCAAATTTAGTGGCTAACGAGTTTCAGTCGAACCATTATTAATTAGAATGCACTTGGGCAAATCGGCCATGAAATTGGAGCAACCTTGCTGACAGCTTCCAAATCACTGCACACACACACACACAAACACAGAAAGAGAGAGAGAGGGAGAGAGTAGGGGGCACACACATACCGCTGTAGCTGCGGCTACACTTGAATTGCTCAATCAATACCACATGCAAAGCATGTTCTGGTTGAGTTTTTGGGCTCAAGTTCGAACTATGTAAATCAAACGAGGACATATGGTCAACAAAATATATCGATCGATGATCATGCCCCTGACGGGTTGACCACTTCAAGAGATCGTGCCGCGCATCTCTCGAGCCTCGGGTCTCGAATTACAGGACATTTGGTGCACCAAACTAGCGCAGCGCCCAATAATAAAAACATTGTCATAAACAAGGACCTTCAGGACAGCGCCAAGCCAAAAGGATCAAGTGTAAGGCAATCGATGCTACCAGTTGTTGTCCTGACTGTCGTTTTGTTTTGATAAAATCTCAAATAACGCCGACGAGTCTATTCCCTGACTACATTCGCTGCCCGTTCATTAGCAACTTGTTATTGTTTAGCTGCAGTCGCGACACGGACAGCGACAGCAACTGAATTATTTTTTGTTTTATTCAAACATCATTTTGGCTGCCGAAGGTTCGATCTTTAGGGTTTTATTTCTTGTTTATGTCGACTTCTAAATTGCAGCTCATATAATCCAAAGCCAAAAGCAGCCAACATGTGTTGCAATCCTTAGTTTATGTTAGCTAAAATCCTTTTCAATTGTGGCCGAAGCAAATACTGAGTGATGTAGGGAAGTGATTGTCTAGCAGATACCCTGCAGACAAACTTCTTGAATCGCCGATTTTTCAGTAAATTTTGTATTGATGTTTTTGTATGTGTGGTCTATACATTATTATATAATATAAATTAATATTGGATTTTATGTACGGCTAGTTTTCTGTACTTATCAGAAAGTAGAAAGTAGATTGCGTTGAAATGAATGAAATGAAATATAGAGAGCTAGTCTAGAACTCTAGAACAGTCTCTATATCGTATATAATATCCTACGCTGTATAATTTCTTTTCTGTTGTCTTACAGGATAACTACACCCAGCATTTTCCACATCTCTAAATAACTTAACTATAAGCAAATTGAAGTTAGTAATGCGCTAAGCGGCTCCGATATAGGCAGGTTCTCATTCTCTCGCATCAGATCAGTTTTTCATTTCCATCATGCATATTTAAGCATTAAAATTATTCATAAAATATCAAAGCCAATAATTTGACCAGCCTGTTCTGTCTACTTTTGAGCATATCTAATGTGCATTTGGTATCGAAAGTTAGAATCACTTTTCATAGGCTTACCCCTAATACCATAAAACTCATTGTCTGCCGTCTGACTTTCGATAAACGCATTTGGGGGCATTGATTTTCCCAGGCACTGCGCACTATTGGAGCCACATCACACATTTTCCATTTAGTTTTCCTTTGTTCGTGGCCAAAGAATGGGCACATCATTTGGTAATCTGTGAAAAAGCCAAACCCCCATTAAACCGCAGGCACTCTTAACTCGTTTTTTATTCCTTTTCTGTATTCTCTCGAATAGTGCATACAAGAGAAGTCGTTACAGCGACGTCTCCAAGTGTGCATAGACATGAAAAGGCTTCATCACAATCAGCATCACAGGCCGATCCTTAACAGCGTCCACGTGCAGGCCGCGCTTCAGTCGTGGCTTAAGGGCTACCGTCAGAGAGTTAAGCCCCCGCCCCCGCAGCCGCACCCGCTCCATGTATACGGATTGTACCTGTGCCTCAACCTGTTTGTCTAGCCATTTATCAATTTCCATGTATTGTGTGCCTGTGCCTTCACCTTCGCCTTCGCCTTCACAACTTGTTTATTTTCCATTTCTCTGCAGGAAATCTCGACTCGTTTTCTTATGGGTCTAACTTCCAGTTGGACTTTTCCCCTGCAAACAGGTTCTATTGTACGGCCTACCCCTGCACCGCCTATGTACCTGTATGTATTGGATTTTCCTCTATGCCCAGATTCGTCTTTACCTGTTCCCTTCCATTATATACCTCAGCTCGTTCCGTCTCTGTCGCAGTGTCTGTTGTCTCACCAAGGGGAAAATTATATGTTTTGATTTTTTAACGGAAAATTGCTGAGCAAGGCGCTCCATAACAAAACTTGAGCGAAGGGGCCTCCCGCCGATCTCTAGAGCAATACAAACAGTCACTTTTAATGACAGACCCAATATAAAAAGCAATCATCTAATTTTTATGTAACCTCTTCAAAACCGATCTAATGAAGGGTTGCATTCAAGTTTCTCACGGCCAAGCGGTCAATCACTTTGGAGGTCATTCAACCAGTTGCCTCACTCATCTGTAGGGATACGTATTCATCTCTCAGCATAATTGCTTTTTCATAACTATTGGATTTATGCATTAGCATTGGGATAGTCAACAAATTTCACGGCTCGTTGGTCGTGGTTCCTTTCGAGGCGTGTGCATAAAATATTTGATTTTGATCTACAGATTGGTAATACGCACGATCTACGAGTACAGCTACTGCTCCAATGCCAAACCAAAAATCGATTAGTTACCGCTATGCTCATAAGTTCCACAGGACCCTGCCTTTCTTCCCGATGATATGATCATTACAATGCACGTGTCGGTCTGTTTCAAGTCCCGACTGCTGCCCAAAAAGGGTAATTAATGATGGGATTCTATAGTTTTTGCATACTTGCAAAACGATCTGCACAGCCTTGGCAACTGGGCAATGATTTGTGGAACCTCCTAGTGGACCGGACGCCCTACGGCTCTCTTGACTTGCCGCCCTTTGCACAGAGTTTTTTGCTCATTTACAACTCATTTTTTTGAGACTCTGCAAATGGCAATTAGCATGCTTACATGAGTTTGCGAATTCTTTTGCAACAGATAGCCTAAGATCCTTTGAAGTACTGTTTGTGGGCAACGCACAGATCTAACAATGTGATCAAATGTGCCGATTTCTTTGGTCGAAACCCATTTGTGGTCAGCTCTATAATGGAGAACGGAACTTTGAAGTGTACAAAGAATATTTCTTAGTTATAGTTAAACAACTATGATATTCATATAGTGCAAGGTATACAGGTCTTATTTTGAGCTAGAAGCGATTTAGAGCTGACGTTACCAAAGTTAAAAACAGCAAGCTCCATCTATCTCTGTTTCCGTCATGTCCAGTACCCTTGAACAGTGTTAAAAGTAATTAAAACTCATCAAAAGGATTCTCTTCCAGTGTATTCACCAACTCATATATCAAACAAGAGCCAACTATGTTAGTTGAAAATCTTCTGAATTCCTTTTAAGAACACCTCCAATGCTAAGACAATATAAAACGATCGCTTATACAAAAGGCATTCAGATCCTAACTCTACATGTAAATAAGACGAAAATCATTTACATTCAATTCAGACTTAAGCAACGCAGAGTTCGGCTCTTTGCATTTTAGCAGACGAGTGTGAAAAGCCATTAGACAACGCTACAAATAGGCCGCGCGGATCTCAAGAATAAGAAACAAGTACCAAAAAAAAAACAAAAAGAAAAACAATAAAACTGAAATCAAAAACCTCTAATACAAACATTACGTAAGTCAGCTACTGTTAAGAACCAAGGCGGCATTTCCAGGGAAAAACATAAAAACTTCCGTTCAGTACGCAATACGCATGAATCTGTAACACTTGTGCAAAAAAAAATGTGTTTACATATATGGAACGAACTTGATCTGTTTTCCAGGAAGTTGAACAATTTGTGCATAATTTGCATAGCTGAAGGCTTAGGGCGGCAAACTGTTTGACGACATATTGCTCAATGGCATGGATCAATGGGAAACGAAATAGAAGAGCGAAAAATAAGTGCAGATGCTAGATCTATATTGATAAATCTATGCAGACGCACATGTGTGAGCTCTACTCTTTCGCTCAACAAAAACGAGATCATCTCATATGTGCACAAAAGCATTTCGCACATTTAGGCTTCCAAATGAATGGACACAAGGCACAGGTCACCGGACAGAGGACTTGTGTGGTCAGGAGTTCAGGTTCAGTTCTAGGTTCTAGTTACCTAGATCTAATATGCAGATATGTATTATCGAGGCAGCTGTGCCGGCTAACTGAACAGCCAAAGTTGCAGTTCGGTTAATCAATTAACAATGGCTTGAGCCGAAAAAAGGAATCGAGTAAGAAAGATGAGAAACGCTGCAAGGATAAGCCTACTTTAACTTGAAAATATTGCTAGAGCTCTGCATAGTTTTAGGGCTTTTGTTTAGCAAGGAATAACTAACTTGCATATTGTTTTGTTGCACATCCTTAATGAATATAAAGCAAGCATTGTCAGAGTATGTATGCGAGTGTGTGTGGGTGTGCGAATGTGTGTGTGTGTGTGTGTGCATAGGGTGTGGCTGTGTGTAATATTGTTTTAGCAGCACGTACACCCACATGCCATGGCAATTCTTGAAAGTCTTAAGCCGACCTTTGAGCCGGCCACCGGTCATGATTGTGAGTCTAAGATACCAACTACGAAATGCGCACCACACACAACTCTACACACACACACACACACGCACAGAGTTATTGGCTTTGGTTGTGGCGCGCAAAATGAACAGTTCCGAACGAAAATCCTTTTACCAAAGGCCGCACAAATATCCTTTCACAGTAGAATTTACTTTAAACAACCAAGGAAAAAAAAAAAGAGCGCCAAAAATTGTATCCTTTTTAGTCCTGTGTGCCTATCTGTGTGTAACTGTATGCGTGTGCTACCCTAGATAACTAATACACATGGAATTCTAAAAACAAATTCGAGCTGATGCTATCTTGCGCTCGACTGCACCTCAAG